ATAAATAAAAATAAAATAAAAACAAAAACTTGTATATTTACTTGCTTTTTTTAATAGCTTCATATTATTCTAGCAGTCTGTATCGAATGACTATATCATCTAGCTGTCGTTAAGTAAACATATAGTGCTTAAATTAGGATGTGCTTATCTTAATATAACACTATGAAAAGCAATGCCGCCATAGTTAAGCAGATATGGTATCAATTTTTATAGTTATAATGCAAATTTCATATATATGTATATATACATAAATATACACATACTCATTTCTCTTAGTTCGCAATTTTAAATTTATAAAATATCCAATTCGAGTTTATTGCAGATTAAAATTAATTTTCCTCCCTGTTCTCTTCCATTCACAGACCTGGATGCGGTCACTGTTCAACTGTTGGGCAGCAATCGGAACGAGCTGTTGCTCAAGTGCCATGTGGAGGGCGCCTCTGGCGATGAGCCGCTGCAGATCGAATGGTATCGCGACAGCGCCAAGCTGAGYAGCTGGCAGAACGTGGAGTTGCAGCAGCATCGCCTGCTCGTCCGCCAGCCAAGCAGCGCCGATGACGGACTCTATCGCTGCATTGCATCGAATGCGGCGGCTCGTGTGATGAGCAAACAGGGCTATGTGTATGAGCATCTGGCTAGTGTGGCGCCTGGGTCCACCAAGTGCCTGCCCAAGTTGAAGAGGAACCAAAAGATGCCCGAGTCCTGGGGCAAGCAAGTGTTTCTGTGTCGCGGCAAGCGTGGCGGCTCCRCAGGCATGGATCAATCGCAGTCACTGCCGCCGTCGCCCGAAGGGCTGCGCATCGTTCAGGGACCCAACGACAAGCTGATCATCAAGGAAGGCGAGCCGACCGCCCTCAGCTGCCTCTATGAACTGCCCGCCGAATTGCAGAATCAACGCATTCAGTTGCGCTGGCGCAAAGATGGCAAAATTCTGCGGCATGTGGAGCTGGGCGAAGCAGTTGTACCCGGTCTGGCGCTGGACCACGGCAAGGATGCACTGGTGCGCGAGGACGGACGCTTGGTGCTGCACAAGCAGAACGGCACGCTCAGCTTCAACAGCATCATTGCCAGCGATGCGGGCCAGTATATGTGCCAAATCCAGCTGGAGGGACATGCGCCAGTCAACTCGGCACCCGGCGCGCTGGAGGTCATTGAGCAGCTCAAGTTCATGCCGCAGCCAACATCCAAGAATCTGGAGCTGGGCGCCCTGGGCAAGCTGCACTGCAAGGCGCAGGGCACGCCCACCCCGCAGGTGCAATGGCTGAGGGTGAGTAAAGSATCAAAGGGTTGATTAAAGGAGTCAGTCTCTTCCTCCATTTATCATCCGGCTGACTGATTTCAGTAATTGACATTTGTACCCAAGCATTAGCCGTATATATCAAATCAAATTTAATGGCCAGAACTCGTTTATCTTCGCGTCTACCGATTTAGCAAATGTCACAAGTCAGTTACCCATCTCACTAAATATTCCAACTCCAAACTGCCTCTCGCTCCCGTCTGGTCGCTCGCTCCCACCTGTCCGGCTGACAAATTGAAAAACGCAACGCGACGCTGTGTAAACTTTTCTTTCAACGAACATTTCATATGCAGCGCCCCTATTGAGTAGTCCTGCTAGACTAGCTAACCNGCAAGCTGCACTGCAAGGCGCAGGGCACGCCCACCCCGCAGGTGCAATGGCTGAGGGTGAGTAAAGCATCAAAGGCTTGATTAAAGGAGTCAGTCTCTTCCTCCATTTATCATCCGGCTGACTGATTTCAGTAATTGACATTTGTACCCAAGCATTAGCCGTATATATCAAATCAAATTTAATGGCCAGAACTCGTTTATCTTYGCGTCTACCGATTYAGCAAATGTCACAAGTCAGTTACCCATCTCACTAAATATTCCAACTCCAAACTGCCTCTCGCTCCCGTCTGGTCGCTCGCTCYCACCTGTCCGGCTGACAAATTGAAAAACGCAACGCGACGCTGTGTAAACTTTTCTTTCAACGAACATTTCATATGCAGCGCCCCTATTGAGTAGTCCTGCTAGACTAGCTAACCCGTCCACTCCGGCCCAGCCCTTTAGTGCTCTTCTAATATTCGCTCCTCGCGCGTTGTTTGCAGCTGTTGTGCGAGAACCAACCAATTTTGACAACTGTTTGTCCATTTGCCGGAAAATTGTCCAGGGCCAAAAAAAAAAAGAACAAGTAAGAAAACTTTAGACGGGATTGCACGACTACGAGCTACCCTGAACGTACTGAGAGATTATAACAAAAATCGAAATTCTACAAAATACACATGAACCCATATATAAAATTTAAAGACCCTAGCTCTAAAGATGTAGGACATATAATTTCCTAACTAATTTTTGATAAGGGTTTTGATCAACAACAAATAATTAGCACATTTAATTTTGGATAAGATATATATATAAATTATATAACTTATTTCAAAAAGGTGCTCTATAAATATATATGGGAGTAGCTATCCATATTTTAAAACATGCTCGATCTGCGCGTGGAATATGCGGACTAACGAAACAAAGTTTCAAATCTCTAGCTCGTATATCTGCTGAGATCGACGCGTTGAAACACACGGACAGACGGACAGAGAGGCAAACGGACAGGGCTATAACGACCCAGCTCGTCGGGAATATATACACTTAATGGCCTCTGCCACGCCTCCTTTGGCCTGTTACATACACCTTAAAAAAATCATCATACCCCGATTTCCCACTTTCAATGGGTTCAGGGTATAAACAAAAACGCTAGCAAAAAGTTAAAATGCCAACGATTTTTTCATTTGGCTGCCGTCKAAAACAAACGCACCTCTTACCATCCAGATGCAGGTGCAGGTTTTTGCATTTTCGATGAAAACACGCACGTCGAGYTGGTCTTTGAAATTGGTTTGTAATAGTCCATGTACCTTCTGTCTACTACCTATACAGGATGCGGCGAATGGCAGCCTGCCCGAGCACGTGGACGACATAAATGGCACTTTAATCTTTAGGAATGTGAGCGCCGAGCATCGGGGCAACTATACGTGCGTGGCCAGCAACAGCCAGGGCCAGATAAACGCCACGGTGGCCATCAATGTGGTGGTCGCGCCCAGGTTCAGTGTGGCGCCCGAGGGGCCCATCGAGAGCAGCGAGCAAGGCGTCGCCGTTATACACTGTCAGGCAATTGGCGATCCCAAGCCGACCATACAATGGGATAARGACCTGAAGTATCTAAGCGAGAATAATACGGATCGTCAGCGGTTCAGCTTCCTGGAGAATGGCACACTCGAGATACGCAACGTGCAGGCGGAGGATGAGGGCAAATAYGGCTGCACCATTGGCAACAGTGCCGGGCTGAAGCGTGAGGAGGTTCGCCTGCTGGTGCGCGGAAGTGGCGATGGCTTCATAACGGAGGAATCGGCCGGCGATGGTTTCCTGGTGACACGCGCCGTCCTCATCACGATGACCGTGGCGCTGGCCTACATAGTGCTCGTGGTGGGTCTGATGCTGTGGTGTCGCTATCGCCGTCAAGCACGCAAGGCGCGCCTCAACGAGCTGAGCATCAAGGAGGCGGGCGGTGACCAAGCGGAGTCGGGCAAGAACACGGAACAGGAGCCCTGCCTGTCCAAGCAGCGCAACGGGCACGGCAAGTCCCGGACAGCCGCCAATGGCGATGCTCAGAAATCCGATGATACGGCTTGCAGTCAGCAGTCCAAGGCGTCCAAGAAATCTGCCCATATCTATGAGCAGCTGGCTCTGCCACGTTCTGGCCTCAGTGAACTCATCCAAATTGGCCGCGGCGAGTTTGGCGATGTGTTCGTGGGCAAGTTGAAGGCCTCCCTGGTGGCAGCCGCCTCGCCCAGCGACAAGGATGCCGACACGGAGAAGCAGCACAGCAACAGCGAGAATGGCAGCGGTGCCAGTGGTGCCAGCGGCTGCGGCAGTGGCAGCACCACCCTCAGCACTCTGAACGAGAAGCGACGCTCCAAGACATCCATGGATGACATTGAGGAAATCAAGGAGGAGGAACAGCCCCAGGAGCAGGCACAGTCCGAGTCGACGGCCGATCTTCTGGTGATGGTCAAGGCACTCAACAAGGTCAAGGATGAGCAGGCCTGCCAGGAGTTCCGTCGCCAGCTGGATCTGCTGCGTGCCATCTCGCACAAGGGCGTGGTTCGTCTGTTCGGCCTGTGCCGCGAAAAGGATCCCCACTACATGGTGCTGGAGTACACGGACTGGGGTGATCTCAAGCAATTCTTATTGGCCACCGCTGGCAAGGTTAACACWGCCACCGCCACCTCCTCGCCACCACCACTAACCACCAGCCAGCTGCTGGCTGTGGCCTATCAAATAGCTCGCGGCATGGATGCTATTTATCGCGCTCGCTTCACCCACAGGTAAGTTGAGTTGGGATCTCGAAAGAGATCCAGGGTTATAGCAAACAGACTAACAGATTAATACAACCCAAGATGAARCCAAGATTTTCAGCTTAGAAATGAACTTTAATAATATATACAATATACAAACTGTTAAATACTAAAGCGAAATAGAGTTTGTAGACAGAAAGAGGTCAAGTTAGGATCTGTTAGGATCTGAACAGAATTTGTGGAATTCCCGTATGCTATATATACTTTAACAGATTAATCGACATTTAACATATACTAACTATGAAATATATTCAGATTAGCTAATCAAGTTTTATCCCAAAATTAAAACTTTAAATTAAGCTTATCTTAAAGCAGGAAGAGAAGTTCTAAGGAATTAGCTGAATTAATTTTGGTGCTTATTATTTAGCAGGCTAACTAACTGCAATACTGTTATTTATTACTGAGCCAAGATAAACTGCAGTTAATTTATCTACATCCGAGACAGCTGCACACAGTTGGAAACGGATTAATCTCAAATAGCTCAAACTTGCAGTAGAAATGGCTAATTGATGCAATACATCTTCGAAATAGAACGTAATGATAGCCATTAAACGGTTCTGCCCTCTAACCCTCCAACAGAGACCTGGCCACGCGCAATTGCGTCATCTCCAGTGAGTTCATCGTTAAGGTCGCCTATCCGGCCCTCTGCAAGGACAAGTACAGCCGGGAGTATCACAAGCATCGCAACACGCTGCTGCCGGTGCGCTGGCTGGCACCGGAATGCATACAGGAGGATGAGTACACCACCAAGAGTGACATTTTCGCCTTTGCTGTCGTCGTATGGGAGCTGTTCAATCAGGCGACAAAGCTGCCGCACGAGGATCTAAGCAACGAGCAGGTGGTGCAGCGCTCGCTGGCCAATACCCTGGAATGGTCTGTGGCCGAGGGCACGCCCGATGGCCTCAAGGAGATTCTGGTACGTCTACACTTGCATGGCTCATCCAAATGAGACAGTTAATTAATTTATTGCTCTGCCCCTTCACTTCACAGCTCTCCTGCTGGTTGACCAATCCCAAAGAGCGTCCGTCTTTCAGTCAGCTGGGAGCTGCACTTAGCAAGGCCATGCAAGCTGCTGAGAAATAGACGATGATGATGACATAGTGTTGGTAAACAATTAAAAGAAATAATAGTAACAACATGATTCATATAAAAACGAAAAACAGTTTGCTAACTATGCCAAATATAATTTGTAGTATTCTCTTAGTACATAGGACCGGCTTAAGTTAAGTTTGATCAACTTCTGCGTCGTACTGAATTATTTTCATATGCTAGGCGCGTGTTCAACATGCGTACTTAATTCGTAATTCATAGCTTAGGATACGTCTATCTATTACTGTACAAACCATATAAGCATTGATATCTTCTCAAAAGTATTCACATACATACGTGGTGCTGCACAGAGCTCTCTGTGTGGCTAAAATGTATATAGAAAAGAAACTGCCACACAAGAAATTTGCATTTGAACCAGTTGAAGCATTTATAGCCGTAGTTCGCTTGGCAACTCGAAAGATGCCAAGAAATATTTTATAAAGCTACCCTAATCAATATTGGTATATGCTAGGTCTAAGTTCAATTTTATGAATTAAATATTACAAATAAAATATTATAGAAATATAT